GAGTGCTCACCTTGTGAAAACACTGGTTTTAAAGGCACCAAACATAGTCTTACTGGAAAGGGCCACTGGCTTAGCTTTGAGATCAATGTGGCTGAAGTCTATTAAAGTTAATATATCTCTGCTTTTGGGAGAATTTAAGTGCATTTGTGCTAGAGCAGGGCGATATGACCAAAAATATTTATCACGATATACATTTGAAAATTTGCAATAACGATAAAACTGACGATATAATTGACACTAGACAAAATACTTTACAACTCCACAACTTTATTAGTGCAAAATAAACAAACAAACATCAATTTATTCTCACTTGAACAAGCAACTGTTTGTTATGTGTTTTAAAGTTATATAAAAATTTAACAGTGCAAATACAAATTCCTTGCTGACAGTTTAACCAAAAGGCATTTTCAGTGGAAACTGGCCGACATATCCTCAGCATAACCGTGTATAATATCCACAAAACCTAAAAAGAGATTATACACAATACAGTAATATTATGTTGAAGCGCAGTACGTATCACTCCGCGAGGCTCCTGCCTACGATAGCCGTAATGCTCCGACAATCCATCAAGCGATGCGGGTTCGTAGCTTAGCAAAGTCGTACTAAAACATTTGACAGATTTTCGAGCGCCGTGTACGACATAAAATCGTTTCGAGGTCAGTAAACACAACCAGAATTCATACATAAGACCCACTGGATTATAAGGGGTACTGTCGATTTTCAGAAAAATCAAAGAATTGATTTTAAGTGTGCCGTATTTTCCAAAAAACACGGTAATACCGACGGCCCGCTAGCATGCCCTACCAAAAATAGTGTTTTGTTGAGTATCTGACGGACGAAAGCTAAACCAGTTCCACACCACTGAAGTTGCAGCATTTTTACAAACCAATTCTGGTTCATCCGTTTCATTCAACGATCCGCTTTCACCCTTCTCATTCTGCGTCGGCGCCGTATGCGTATGAAAACAAAGGCACTGCGCATGCGTCTTTTACCCATATTTTATCGCGATATTTAATTTTCTTATCGTTGCCCAACATTATACCGGTATTACCGTGAACAGTATGATATGGCCCAGCCCTAATTTGTGCTACATTCTTGTTTTTCTTTCAGACACCGCTGCATGACTCTAAGGATAAGAAAATGAACATTTTTACCTCAGGAAGTGTAGCCATGGATGTTGATCTTGAAAAAATGGGCTTCCGACAAGGTGAGAGGCTTGCAGGTGATACTGACATGTATTTGTTTAAAGAAAAGGTCAGGTTTGACTTTTCCGCTCGGTATTGCAGGAGAAGGATTAAAAGTTGTGGCCTTCATTAAGAACAGTTCATCTCGTGAGATCAAGCCCAAGTACTGTTTGTACAGAAAGCACAGTTTCTTTGCAAGAGGGAAGAGAAGGGTCCATACTAAAGACCTCTTGAAAGAGGTGGGAGACGCCATCCCTCCATCTGCAGAAGAAGCCGTCACAAGGGTCATCACCATTCCCCGTGACGTGGAGCCCTCGATCCTCAACTGCAACATCATCAAAGCTGAGCACAGACTCAGGGTAAGCAGCTTGAAAAATGTTTGCTGGAAACACCAGTAAATCTTAAAACTGTATTAATCGTTTCAATACAAGTTAGTTATTCCACAATACTGTCCAAAATTATTGATCCACAAAAGGATTTCTTTAAGTAGTCTTCAGAAATAGCTTTTTATTTTTTTATTTTAAGCTCTTCTTTGGAGGTCGGCTTCCTTTTCTTCTGTTCTCCATTAACATGATTCCACACTGCTTTTGTAATGTTGAAGTTCAGGCTCCAGGTAGGCCAATCCATACTAATGGCGTTGTTTGTGATCAAATGAAAAATGAAGCAATCCAATCAGGAAGCCAAGGAGGTACAGGACTTTTTCCTCTTTCTGTCTTTGTTTGCATCAATATAATCTTGCTTCCCTGTTTAGTTGTGCCTCTCTTCCCGTTTTATTTTGGTTATTATTTCTCTCTGTGTCCTCTGTGGGTTTTACTTCCTTTGTCTCATTATTTGGTTTCAGCTGTACTTCTGCCCTCATCACATTCTGTCTGCCAGTCTGTAACTTGAACTGCTTTATTGTCACACTGGAGATCAGTCACCAGATCAGCTAACAGCCCAGATCTAAGTTGTGCTAACTTAAAATGGTTCAAGAAGGAATGCTCTGTTCCTCGAAAGAAAATGCATTTCATTTTACTTTGGTGAGAACTTGTTAACTTGTTTTTTGAAATTCTGTAGTAGAAATGCACACATTAAACAAAAAGGAAAAAAGATAGAATGTAAATTTAAATGGAAAACTGGTTCTTTGCTACGCTCTTTTTTTTTTTTTTTTTTTTTTTTTTTTTTTTTTTTTTTTCTTTTCCCTGGTGTGAGTAGGCACTGGTTCATTCCTTGAGTTACCTAGCTTTCCTTTTCATGCATTAATTATTCATAGCTCAGTGTTAAGCATTTCAGCAAACAAAAAACATTCATCCTTTATTCCTCTTAAAAGGATTCAACTAAAAATGAATGGGGGGGGGGAAAAAGACAGCCAGCATCAAAAAAAGGAAACTGAAAGACTTTAAGAAAACCTGACAAACTATTTCTCAAGACCACTTTAGAAATTACAAGAAAGGAACCGGTGGGTGGTTCAAGACTTTTGCACATTATTGCATGTAAACTCCAAACCAAAAGTTCATTTGAGGGGCTTTACTGCTAAAATCCTAGCAAAGAATATAGAAAAGATCTGTAATGTAACTGATCACATCAATGTTGATGTGATCAGAAAAAATAAGCAAGATGGTATGAATGTTGTGAGCAATAGCGCAGCAGAGCGCTATTTGAAGCTCTCTGTCGGTTCTTTATTTTATGCAATGAAAGACTTTTGTGTAAAGCTGCTGAAAGCGTTTGAACACAATTGTCACGCTTTGTTCATTTGTTTGAGGAAAGTGTTTGCTTTGCACGCATGTGAACACAGTATTGTATAGAGCATAGTGGAAAACTGTCGGCACATAGGTTGTCTTTATAGAGCAAAGCTCCAGTGTCTGCCATGGTTTATTGACTCATTTTACTGAAAAGCAATAATGTAAACAAAAGACTTATGTGACATAAGAACCTACTAGTAGTAACTGAGGACAGCAGTTATATTTGTGTTAATGGGTAACATCTGCAGCTCAAAACCAACATAACCTGTGTGAAAGGGTTGAGCTACAAAATGATCAAACTTTTAATTAATACTAAAATAAGCATAAGCTGAGATACATGAAGTCCGTAACCAAAGAAAAGGCTGATAGATTTTACCTGTTGAACATGTTCTTAAAAACAGAGGATTGGTTCAATTCTGCAAATATTGAGTAACTTTAAACAATCTAACGTGTTTTACAGGTGTACCTTGACGTAAAATATGCTTCAGATCCAGAGATCAAGTTTCCTGTAGCCATCCTGCCAGCCTTCCAGGCCTATCCTGCAGTGCCACCACACTATCCCGCTGCTGCTGCTACCCCCTTTGGATTCAACCCGAACCCGAACCCTCCAGTGTGGGGTTTTGAGCCACAACAACCAATAGCAGCTCCCCAACCGTCAGATCCCCCTCCTCCTTATGGAGCATATGCAATGTACCCTCCATTGCCAGATTTTGAGAATAAATCCTAGCAACAGGTCTGACCAGATGTTTTGCCAGGAAATGGTGTGAAAACACCGAGAAGCATACTGTGGTCATTAAGAGCCACTCTAGTGTTCACCAAGCACTTCTGTGGCTATAGACTATACCAAATCCCTATAGTGTGTGTTTTACTGCCTCATATAGGAGTATCCACTCCTGATTGTTTCTTTTTTATTTAACACTTGATATCTTAAGTGCCTGCGTGTTACAGACAGACGACTGAATAAAAGGGACAAAATGTAAAACATTGCATTTATCACAGGAACAAGTAATGCTGTTTGACTGGTTTGTTTTACACCTAAAAGCCTTTCTGAAAAGTAAAGAGAAAAATATTTTCCATTCACTGGTTAACAACATTACAACATCAAGTTGGTGTTGGGTGGATTAAATCTTTGAAATGAAGTTTTGTATGATAATAAACTTTTTTTAAGGCAATAAACCTCTTTGGTTTTTGGATTTATTTACTTATTTTTGGTTTGTTTTTTGTGGCGTAACACAAAACATGAAGCTGACATAACTAGACATCTTTTACTTTGAGTTAATTGCTTTCAATTTATGGGGCCATCAAAATATTGACTGCAACATTTTTCTTCCTGGTATTTTTTTAGGTTTTGCCAGTGTTTCCAGATTAATTTTGACTATTTAGACAGTTGACAATTTCTGGTAAGATGGGTCATTAACACTAACTTACTTAGAACGTGTTTCCCCAGGAAAAGTTGATACCGTTCATATAATATTATTTCTAAACCTACTGTGAATATTATAGTGTTGTTAGTGACAATAACAAAGAAGAATTTTTTTTAATGTTCTTTGTGGAACTTCCCCTAAATTTATGCTATCAAAATATATGAAAAGATGTCTCCTAAGCCTTGGTAATCCCCCCCCAAAAGGCCCTTTTGTCATCTCTCTGAAAAAGGGGGTCTATTGTTAAGGTTACTTCTCATCACTTCTGCTTAGGATTTCAAAGGGTTAAACATGGCATGTAATGGGCATCAAGTGGAAGATTTACTGTAGGTGTGGTGAAATATATCATGTGATGCAGCCAGCATGTGGCAGTCACACCTACAATAAAAAATAAAGAGAAACAAGGTGGTATTTTTCACTGCCCCAATATGTGGTTGTGAAGAGACCATGCTGGTTATCCAGAGAGTGTGTGTGTCTTGACTGTCTCAAATCATTCATAATGTAATCTCATGTTAAACTCCGTCGAGTTTCCATAGCTGAAAATCTTTTAGTGCTACTGCTTTGAGAGGGTGTGTGATACAAGAAAAACTGGTTTCACCACAACATTTGCATACTTGAAAGCAGATATAACCGGCAGAGAGTGGCTGCGCTGGGCACAACTGGCTTGAGTTTTCTCTTGGTTTTTGCAACAGATTTTTGTTTTCCCCCACTTTTTGTCATCAATTGAAAATGACCATTAAAAAATTCTCAATCGAATACGATGCCATCAACAGCAAAAACACCTTCACGAATGGAGATATCATTAATGGAAGAATTATTGTGGAGGTGTCTGGTGAAACCAAAATCCAATCGCTGATTTTTAGAGGACAAGGGAGAGCGAAGGTATGCTGGAGTGAGCATTACGGACAAGATCAAACCCACGTTTACTGGGCTACTGAGAAATATTATGACATCAAACAAGATATCTTGAGAGAATCAAGACACGATGGTGATGTATTGAATTAACACAGTTGCTGACACGTGATACACTGTTCCTTGTTTAACAGACTGTTCAAAACAACACCTACTTCTTTTCCAGGCACTGAAGTCATTGGAAAAGGAAGACACGTGTATCCTTTTTCGTTCAGGATTCCTGATGGGTACCTCTTCTTGTCTTAATCAGAGGTTTAGATTCCCATTCTGCTTCTTTGTGGGTCATTTGAATGTTTTTGTATTGTATTTTACAGAATACTGCCATCAACCTATAAAGGAGCCCATGGAAAAATTGTTCATAAGGTGAAAGCAGAGCTGAAACAATCAATGAAGATTACAAAAAAAACTAAGGCCCACTTCACTTTTGTGTCCAAGACACACATGGGTATTCCTGGACTTCTGGTAAGAAATCATTAATCCTAAAAAGCAACGATTAAATTTCATAACTGATAGTGTTCAGGCAGACGAGATCATTACCTTAAAGCACATTTATAATGTGGGGGTCTGCTTTTTAGGAACCTCAGTATACTTGTAAGGATAAATCTGTTTTGGGCTCTGGAAAGGTTTCAGTAGATGTTCATACCACTCAGATGGGATACATGCAAGGTAATTATCTTTACTTGGCTTACTGCCTTTCAGTATTCAGTTTCTGCCCTCTCCCTTATTTTTATTTTTTATATTTTGGAAAGTGACTATAAGTTTGGTTGAGTCAAGAGCTTTTTACTCCTTAGACTCCTTCCCTAATGAAGCATCATTTAAAAATACTGCTTTATTTCATCCCAGCTCCCAGCTACTTAAAGTGCTTGTAAACAGGAAACCAGTGTGCATGATTCAGTGAGGGGTGTTTCTGTGGAACTGATCCTTTGATTATTGAAAGGAAGTTATAGCTGATTGAGTACTAAGCTAAAAGTTGTTGTTGTAGTTTTGTTTTTATGAGTACGAACCGAGCTGTATGATGCTGACGTGCTGTTTTTGGCAACATCTAGGGGGGTACATTTGGCAAGCTAAATTATCAACCACTGTACACTAGACTTACAAGGAAGGTAAAGACAAAAAGTTGAAAAGTCCAATAATCATTTAAGATAGAAAAAAGGTTGCATTTGGCGCCTTTTGTGCCAGGAACATTAAGTCATGTAAGAATAAAACTCTCCAGACTCTTTTGTGCCTTATTTTGTGTCATATGAATTTGGAGGAAAATGGCATAATGGCTGTGTTACACTGAGATGGATTTTGTTTTATATAGTTTCATGTTGTTGCTTTTTTGGGAGGATGACTCTTGATGGTATATGCCCAGATAATTTGGCCTCTGGATCACCCGACTGCATAAAAGCATCCTGAACTCCTGTAGAGAGATATTATGTAGATGTCAGAAAATGTCTTTCTATGCTTGGCAGTGATTTATACAGGATAACTTTCTGTACTTTACAGGCGAAGCTCTCGTGGTCACAGTTGAAATCAACAACAACTCGAGTCGCACAGTGAAGCCCAAATTCATACTGTATCAGAAACACAGTTTCTTTGCCCAGGGCCACAGGACAGTTTACACACACGACATCCTTAAGGATAAGGCTGAGGCTGTTGAAGCATCTTCTGGCAGAAAAACTGTGACCAAGGTGATCACCATCCCTGGAGACCTACCCCCCTCCATCTTGAACAGCCACATCATCAACCTGGAGTACAGGCTGAAGGTAAACAACTTGTAGAGCTGTCCTTTTGTTTGTGTACTTGAGTACTGTTTAAGTAATATAACTAATGGTAGGAAGCTTGTCTTTGTTTCTGTATATGCCATTTAAAAGGTTTTATTTGGGCTGTTAGTTGGTTAGTGGCACCTCTTTTCTGTCACAGGTGACTGTAACAAATCATTTTTATGGAAAACTGTTAAACTGCTTTTCTCCTTCCTCATTTTAACGTTCACAAAAGGAAATAAAATAAAGGATGTAAGTACTCAGAGGAACTAATGGAAGAAAACAAAGATTGAGAAGCTTGGATTAAAACGTGAGAGCCCTCTAGTGACAAAACATGGCAACAACAAAGCCCTGCTGAAATCAATAATTCCTGAACAAAAAAATCTTAAACAATTCTGTTTGTGTGTTATTTTGTTTGCACAGGTCCAACTGAATATCAAATGTTCTATTGATCCAAAGCTCAAACTTCCTATAGTTATCATGCCTGCGGTGGTGAAACAACCACATCCTTCTGCTGGCATTGGATTTGACACTTTTAGGAACCCAGAAAAAACATCCTGGGGAACTACACCCCAGCAAACACCACCCCAGCAAACACCACCCCAACTTGCAGATCTTCCACCTCCCTACGGAGCACATGCGATGTACCCCACTACCACTCTTGATGATTATAAGACTGCACTTTGAAAATCTCCCTTGAGAGAGAACATTTAAGCCTTAAACACAGACTTGACACAAATGATTGAATACATTCAGAAAAGCAGACTGGTGTGCTGTTAAAGCTACCAAGCACCTATTGTTTGTTCCTTCATACCCCAAACTGTGAAGATGACATCAATTGAGGCAATAAATCAGAAAATGCTGGTTTTCATATTAGCAGTTGTTATCTTCTAACTCCTAACAGATTTTAATTTACTTTCCTATTTAAACTGTAAGATTGTATACATTTAATATCTGTGTAAATAATATATTTACAAGAGTTTGTCAGATTTGTATTGTTGATTGTCATTTATGCTTAGAAATATCTACTCATATATGCTTAGAGTTTTATAATCAATGTCATGTTGGTAGAGGTTTGATCCTTAGTAGTCTGTGGAGACTCTGTGTGCCTCCCAGAGCACTCTGTAGCACAAAGAACTTTGCCTACTTGTGTCTTGCTTTTGCTGTGTAGTAAAATGTCTTGAACGTTCCAGCGAATAGGTTTAAGCTGTGTTACTATATTTTTCTAATAAAACATCATATTTGAAATGCAAAACCAACATCTTGTGTTTGTGGCTGGTGATTCCAGTTTAATGTGAACCCTTATATTCTACTCATCATATGACACATCCTAATGTAATGCTTCTTCTAAAACCTTAGAGTCCATTTGGGCAATTTGGACACGACAACCATTAACTGATGTATAAAAGTATGTGCTCCAAGGTTCACGTTGGGGCCTATGGGGTCAGGAGTAAATTTGATATAGTCACTGTCTTTGGCAAATAAATTCAATTTAACACCATTTACCATTTACTGTTTGTACAGAAAGCACAGTTTCTTTGCAAGAAGAGAAGGGTCCATACTAAAGACCTCTTGAAAGAGGTGGGAGACGCCATCCCTCCATCTGCAGAAGAAACTGTCACAAGGGTCATCACCATTCCCTGTGATGTGGAGCCCTCAATCTTCAACTGCAACATCATCAAAGCTGAGCACGGACTCAGGGTAAGCAGCTTGAAAAATGTTTGCTAGAAACTGCAGTGAGTCTTAAAACTGTATTAGTTGGTTATTCCACCTTACTGTCCAAAATTATAGACTAGGGCTGGGTATCGTCACTGATTTCTAGAATCTATTCGATTCCAATTCACAAGGTCGTGATTCGATTCAATCCACAATTCGATCGATTCAGCATGAATCGGGGAAATTTTGCCTCAGACAGTCAGAAATATTATAATTCTGATCATTTATCAGTACATATCCATATTTTTATATCTATAAAAAGAAATCTGACACTTGTGAAACTTTATCAGAGGTGCAAGCAACAGTAGACTTGTGCGTAAGCGAACGAATAATGCAGAAAACAAACCTTTTTATCGTCCATCCATCCATCCATCCATCCATCCATCCATCCATCCATCCATCCATCCATCCATCCATCCATTTTCTTCCGCTTATCCAGGGCCGGGTCGTGGGGGCAGCAGCCCAAATAGAGAAGCCCAGACCTACCTCTCCCCCAGCCACCTCCTCCAGTTTATCTGGGGGAAGACCAAGGCGTTCCCAGGCCAGCCGAGAGATATAATCTCTCCAGTGTGTCCTGGGTCTGCCCCGGGGGCTCCTCCCGGTGGGACATGCCCGGAAAACCTCGTGCAGGAGGCGCCCAGGGGGCATCCTTGTCATATGCCTGAACCACCTCAACTGGCTCCTTTCGATGTGGAGGAGCAGCGGCTCTACTCTGAGCCCCTCCCGAATGGCCGAACTTCTCACCCTATCTCTAAGGGAGAGGCCAGCCACCCTTCGGAGGAAGCCCATTTCTACCGCTTGTATTCGCGATCTCGTTCTTTCGGTCACTACCCACAGCTCGTGGCCATAGGTGAGGGTAGGGGCGTAGATCGACCAGTAAATTGAGAGCTTTGCTTTTACACTCAGCTCTCTCTTCACCACAACAGACCGGTACAGCGTCCGCATCACTGCAGCTGCTGCACAAATCGTCTGTCGATCTCCCGCTCCCTTCTCCCATCACTCGTGAACAAGACCCCGAGATACTTAAACGCCACTTGGGGCAGGGTCTCGTCCCTGACCCGGAGTGGGCACTCCACCCTTTCCCGGCTGAGGACCATGGTCTCAGATTTGGAGGTGCTGATTCTCATTCCCACCGCTTCACACTCGGCTCCGAACCATTCCAGGGTGAGCTGGAGGCCATCACCTGATGAAGCCAACAGGACCACATCATCTGCAAAAAGCAGAGATGAGATCCTTTGACCACCGAAGTGAAAGCCTTCCGCCACTTAGCTACGCCTAGAAATTTTGTCCATAAAAATTATGAACAGAATCAGTGACAAAGGGCAGCCCTGGCGGAGCCCATCACCCACCAGGAACAAGTCTGACTTATTGCCGGCTATGCGGTCCAAGCTCTTGCAACGGTCGTATAAGGACTGAATGGCCCTTAGCAATGGGCCAGACACCCCATACTCCCGGAGCACCCTCCACAGGACCCTTCGAGGGACACGGTGGAATGCCTTCTACAAGTCCACAAAACACATGTAGACTGGTTGGGCAAACTCCCATGTGCCCTCGAGTATCCTTGAGAGGATAAAGAGCTAGTCCAGTGTTCCACGACCAGGACGGAAACCGCATTGTTCCTCCTGTATCCGAGGTTTGACTAACAGACGGACTCTCCTCTTGAGCACCCTGGCATAGACTTTCCCAGGGAGGCTGAGGAGTGTGATTCCCCTGTAGTTGGAACACACCCTCCAGTACCCTTTCTTAAAGATGGGGACCACCATCCCGGTCTGCCAGTCCAGGGGTACTGCCCCTGATCTCCACGCAACATTGCAGAGACGTGTCAACCAAGACAACCCTACAACATCCAGAGCCTTCAGGAACTCGGGGCAGAGCTCATCCACCCCAGGGGCTCTGCCACCAAGGAGTTGTTTAACTGCCTCAGTGACCTCGCCCCCAGAGATTGGCGGGTCATCCCCTTCATCCCCAGACTCTGCCTCCGCCACGGAAGACGTGCCAGTGGGATTGAGGAGGTCCTCAAAGTATTCCTTCGACCGCCGGACAATTTTCTCAGCACTCCACCCGCACTATACACAGTGCAGGTATAGCATCACTTTCCCCTCCTGAGTCGCCTGACGGTTTGCCAAAATCTCTTTGAGGCAGTCCGAAAGTCTTTTTCCATGGCCTCTCCGAACTCCTCCCACACCCGAGTTTTTGCTTCTGCCACCACCCGTGCCGCATTCCGCTTGGCCTGTCGGTACCTATCAGCTGCCTCCGGAGTCACACAGGCTAACCAAGCCCGGTAGGACTCCTTCTTCAGCTTGGCGGCACCGCTTACCTCTGGTGTCCTCCATTTGGTTCGCGGATTACCACCATGACAGGCACCAACTACCTTGCGGCTGCAGCTCAGTGCAGCGGCTTCGGCAATGGAAGTGCTGAACATGGTCCATTTGGACTTAATACAGTGGCTTGCAAAAGTATTCGCCCCCCCTTGAACTTTCCCACACTTTCCCACTTTCTTCTTGCCACTCAGTGCACAACTAATAGTTGTCCTATGGTCAGATTCCTCCACCTGAGCTGTAGATCTCTGCAGCTCGTCCATGGGCCTCTTGGCTGCATTTCTGATCAGCGCTGTCCTTGTTCGGCCTGTTAGTTTAGGTGGACGGCCTTGTCTTGGTAGGTTTACAGTTGTGCCATACTCCTTCCATTTCTGAATGATCGCTTGAACAATGCTCCGTGGGATGTTCAAGGCTTGGGAAATCTTTTTGTAGCCTAAGCCTGCTTTCAGTTTCTCAATAACTTTATCCCTGACCTGTCTGGTGTGTTCTTTGGACTTCATGGTGTTGTTGCTCCCAATATTCTCTTAGACAACCTCTGAAGCCATCACAGAGCAGCTGTATTTGTACTGGCATTAGATTACACACAGGTGCACTCTATTTAGTCATTAGCACTCATCAGGCAATGTCTATGGGCAACTGACTGCACTCAGAGCAAAGGGGCTGAATAATTACGCACACCCCACTTTTCAGTTATTTATTTGTAAAAAATGTTTGGAATCATGTATGATTTTCGTTCCACTTCTCACGTGTACACCACTTTGTATTGGTCTTTCATGTGGAATTCCAAAAAAATAGATTCATGTTTGTGGCTGTAATGTGACAAAATGTGGGAAAGTTCAAGGGGGCCGAATACTTTTGCAAGCCACTGCATCCCCAGTCTCCCTCGGAATGCTGTTGAAGCTCTGCCGGATTAATATAATCTTGCTTCCCTGTTTAGCTGTGCCTCTCTTCCTGTTTTATTTTGGTTATTATTTCTACACTCATCACATCCTGTCTGCCAGGCAGCTATACTGTAACACTTACAGTCGTTATAGCACTTAATCCAAAGCAACGGTCGGATGCTATTCCCTTCTTATGGTCAGATGAAAGTTAAGGGATGTTTGCTGTTTTTTGTTATTTGAAAGAGTTGCTTAAAGTAGATTTTTGACTTTTAATTGTGTCTAAATACTAAAAAAGCTTTCACCAATATGTCCATTAAAAATCTTGATTTGATAAAAAAGGTGCCTAAAGTAGTTCTATGTTGCCCTCAAAAATATTCCCTTAGTAATTATACTGCGTCACATTGCTTTCACACAATACAATATGACTGGATTGTATTGCCTATAGTCAAGACTGTTTCCAGTCAGTAACTTAATACCCATTGTCACACTGGAGATCAGTCACCAGATCAGCTAACAGCCCAGATCTATGCTGTGCTAACCTAGTATTTAGTATTTAGTATTTATTTATTTATTGTCATTGTCAAGAACAATGAAATTGCGTTTGGGACTTCCATACAACCCCAAAAAAAGAAGAAAATAATAAATACCCCTTAAAACCCAAGTGTACATATTTAACCCAGTGTGACTCCAATGCAATAAGACAATCCTTAGCAATAATGTTCGTAGAAATTCAGACAAAGACCTGAGAAACATGACAAAATACAACAATGCAACCCATTCAATATTATTGTACTGTGAGATATGATATCAGATATGATAGTTATCTATTTAAGAAAGAGGGGGGGGGGCAGGAGGGGGAAGAGAATAAAGATATGATGCACCAATGCAGACCAGTTCATTGCTATTAAGAAGTTGGATATGGTTATTGTCCGTGAGAGGGGGGCAGAGAGTTCAGGAGCCTCACAGCCTGTGGATACAGGCTGTTGGCCAGTCTGGATGTTCTGGCCTGTATAGACCTGTACCTTCTCCCTGAGGGCAGCAGATGGAAAAGGTGGC